AAGAAAAAATAACACATGAACTATTTAAAATTATTCATTATATATTTATTATCCAGCCATCTAATTCAAAACATAGTTTCATGCCTATAATGAAACAAATAAGCGATGAAAACGTTGTGTTTATAAATTTATCCTTTAATATTACGGATAAAAGATAACCTAATGAATAATTATAGAAATTCTTCAAGATATGAGGTTTTTTATTTGAATAGACATCTTCTTCTATTATATTATATTTTTTTGATATATTACCTCGAGATTCTGTAAAAAATGAGATATTTTAGGTTTAGCTATTTATTATTAAAATAAACATTTTTATTTGTATTTATACTATGTTTATTCTTTTATGTATATGAAAAATACGTCATTTTTATTTTCATTGTTTAATAATTTATAATTTTTCATATTTTTATTTGCAAATCGATGAGAATACGAAGACTATAGAGATTACATATCTATAAAAGTCTGTTTTTATTCACTCGTAACTCTTAAATTACAAGTACATTTTCATACAATTTAATTCGTTTAATAGGAATAAAATACAAATATTTAAGAGAAGAGCAGAGAGAATTTCTTAATATTGTAATTAAGCCATTCAGTCAGAGTTTACAGCTATAAGTTAGTCAATCAGTAGGATAAAACAGTGAAGCTATTATAAGTAATGCACGTTCAATTCTCAAGTGCATAACAATTAACAATCAGGAAAAGATGCTGACTGCATTACAAGAACGTACACACCACAGGAAGTGCAATATCAAGGCATTCATCACAGGATCAGGCAAGACAACTGCATTGCTGTGAGTACCTCTAGGTAACAGAGTAACAAAAGGCCAACAACATCCTTCCAAGTGTGTGTCTAACACAAGGTGTTAGTGTAGTGAGGAGACACAACAAGTTACCATCACATGACACTACACGAAGAAGTGTCAAGAGATTTACGACCTCTTACTACTCAATGTGATAACTTACCACCAAGTACATTACGTCAAGAGGATCCGGGAATTTATGACCTCCTACCTCTGCATGTAGTGCATACTAACGCCACGTGGTAACCACCACGGAACTGCAAAATCTCAAAGATTCTCTTCACCAACTTAGAATCATTATCTTGTAGTTTGTAAAGTAAAACGCAATAAACCACGCGAAAAGCAAACGTTTTAAATATTGAATTAATGCGCTAACTCTTCCACTTGCCCGCACTTTGTCTTGCCAGGCAACTGATGGCCATAGTCTAATCCAATCATCTTGGTCTTTCGAGTCGGATGACTAGAATATTCATCTAAACATTCATACTATTTCCAAATAAAATATTTTCATATTTTTAATTATTATTTTGAGTAATATTATCTTTAATATATTGAAATTTTTCTGGTAAAAAGAAAAATAAAAAAAGAGTGATTAAATATATTTTAGAAAGATTATGAATGTTCAACTATTGTGAAAAAAGAAACTGGGTTCGAAATTGAACGTTTGTTTTGTGGCTCGAACTGCCAATTCAATAGATCAGTAGATTAGTCTCTTGCCGTTGCGACTAGGAGGGAAAAAGCACAAGTCGAAGGGCTGTAAATATTAAGCAATATATATTTTGAATGAAGATATTGTTTTATTCTTATGTATTATGAATTATTATAATATTGCAGTTTTGTTGGTTGCTTCAAGTAAGAGAGAGAGAGAGAGAAAGGTATTCTATTGCAGTAGTGAGGGTGCTTCCTTGTGTCCATGGTTGTCGTTGATGCTATGGAAATAACTGTGGATGTTGAGTATTGAGTTTATACTGATGTAAGAATCAGCATGAGTGGTCGACTATGCTCATCAATGAACATGGGAAGATGATAATGGTGATGGTAATGGTAATCAATAAGGCTTCGTAGGAAGAGTAAGCATATTTAAAAGGAGAAATTTCTGTAGTCTCTTTGGTAGTGGTTACGTAAATCGACGATACTTCAATAGGAGAATGGGAATATTAGAGTTAGTCAAGGCCTGCTGTTTTGGAGGCGTATCTGGCGCCCTTTATTGATTACAATTTCAATGACTCTACTGTTAAATTGCTACCCTGTTGTAGCAGATTCTTATAATAATGCACGTATGTTTTTTTGATCAATTGTCTGATATGCGGCTAAGTTTCGCGTGGTTATAAGTGATAACTGATACTATATGAAAATGCACTAATTAATAATAACAGATGAATGAGCGAGATGTGGAATTACAGTGAGCTACGTTTGCAACGCCGACAACAGATGCCGATGCCTGTGGAAGGTTTTAGAAGCTTCATCGGTATTGCTATGCGGAAACATTGTATATTCAAATTTAAGGCGTAGGAAAATTTCCGGATTTGCTGAATCGTGTTTACAAACATGAGCGTCCAGGAACTTGTACTTTTCCCAATTTTAAATTCTGCTTCAATCCTAAACTGCATTTTAATAATACATTGTTGACACATGAAATTGACATTGACACATATAATTGTTGTTACTTGATGATATATTTGTATCGTAGAAAGCGTACCTTGTCCTGATATTGACGTACTGCAATAAATTCAGATGCAAGTAAG